AGGCCATCCAGTCTCCAGCTGAGCTACCAGCTGACCACAGACACAAGAGTGAGCCCAGTCAAGATCATCTAAGCATAGCCCAGGATCAATAGAATTGCTCAGCTGATCCAGAGACTCATAAATAATAATGAATTGATCATGAGCTGAATTGACATTGTTTCAAGCCACCAAGGTTTAAGAAGTTTTGCAATAGAGTAAAAAATGCTAAGAAGATACAAGGAGCACTTTGGCTCTGGGGAGAAGAATGAATTATGCAATAATAAGCAGGGGCTGAGACAACTAGCTCACCATTTTTGGTAGAGACAGATTAGTTTCCCAATAAATTACATAATAAAGTTCAGATAGATTTAAAAAGCATATAAAAAGAATGATAGCTAAAAATGTTTAAATAAATTATAAATTTATGTTAATGTTTCAGAAAGGATTTCCTAGGCTGAAAAAAGTAGAAAAAAGATGGATAGATTTTACTGTAAAATATTTTTTAGGCTTTACTTGTCAAAAATACATTATAAATAAAAATCATAGGCAAATGACAAATTGGTAAAACTCTTTTCATATATGAGATAGATACATATAAACAAATGTACAAAGTATTTTTATTCATGATGAAGGTATGATAAAAGATTACCACTCTTAATATACACAAAATAAAGACAATGAACAACCTGATAGAAGGGTTGTGTGTATATATGTGTGTGTGTATATATATATATGTTTACATATATATATCACAAAAAAGAAATACAAATGACTAATTAACATGTGAAAAATGGTCAACCTCACTGGTAAGCAAAATTAGAAAGACATAAAACAACAATCAGATTACTAGTTTAGTTAAAAATTATAAAGATCAAAATGAATAATAATATCTAGAAAAGCAGATACCTTTATATGCTGCTAGCAGAGTTATAATTTGGTACTATACTTCTTCAAGACAGTGTATTTGTGTGAGTTTGTTGGTGTGGGTATACATGTGTATGTATGCTTCATGGAAAACATTTACTGAAATATTAAAATATCCCTTCACATGAGAAAAAAAGGACTCCAAATAGGTAGTAGATCTAATTATAAACTGGTACAGTAGGAAAACACTTTAAAAAATCTAGTAACAGTCACGTACTAGAGTTATGCCACGGAGAAAGACTGGGCTCTAGCATAGCTCATAACAAAGATAAAAACACTAAACAGATAATGAGGTACCTGACATACCTGTTCAATCACAGTAGAGTTTCCTAAAAGGGATTTTTCTGAATGTTAGACTCAACAATAAAACTATTATTAAGATTTTTCCTTTAATAAACTGTGGCTTTTCAACATCACACACTGCCATATTACGAAGTTGGACAATTAAGTTCCTAAACTCCTCCTAGAAAAAGTACTACCTACCTCATTGGCAAATATCACCACAGTCACCAAATGACCAAGGGGAGTACTTCAAAGGTGACTATGTTGATATTCAGCAATGAGATATATAATACATTCTCTAGGAGAAGTTCATGAACTTAATTGTCCAACCTTGTATATACTACTATGCAACCATTAAAAATACAGAAGTATATCTATTAACATGGGAAGAGCTCTAGGATCTACTATTAAATGAAAGAGGAAAAAATATAGATTAATATATAAGGTATGATACTCTTTATGTAGTTTATTTTTAACCTGACAAAATAATATTACATTTCTAAATGTGAAAAAAAAAATAATAATCTAGAAACACACCGAAACAGATAAGAGTGATTATATTTCTGAGTGGATAATAAAGGACCAAGATATAGAATTTAGCATTATGCATAGTATTGTAACTTAACTTAGATTCATGTATTAATTATGTCCTTAAAAATTAACTAAAATAGAATTTATTATGCTCAAGAAACTTACTGATCAACACCCCACTATAATTTAATGCCAATATATGTATATAATAAAATTGAATGGTAAGGCATATTAAACCAGGTCAAATTCTTTATATTAATAATATTCATATTTTTCTTCAAAATCTTATTCACCCTTTTTGTTAATCTAAAAAGAATAAGGAATTAAACATATATACTCAAGTGAAAACCGATGGTTTTCATCATCTTGTCTGTAATATTACAGATCACAAAAAAGCCTACCCTTGAGGCTAAGCCAAAAACATATCAGTAAAAACCCCCACATGTCAAATGTATAAAAGACAAAGTAAGTCCTGCTATATAGACAATTTAGAAAGCAATAAATCAAGCATCCTCTCCAAATTCCTTTAAATGTTCCAATATCATGTGTCTATAAAAGAGACAGAGCATCATTATAGACAATGTTGAACATATTATGACCTGCAGCATGACAGGCAAGTATGGCAGTAGGCCTAAGTATGAGATACACAGATGATCAAGGAAATACAAGGAAAAGAGGAAAGAGAGAAATGAAATGAAAAACCAAAATAGACTATATGTAGTAGCTCCCACCTATAATCCCCGTATTTTAGGAGGCCAGGAGGGAGGATTGCTTGAGATGAGGAGTTTAAGAACAACCTGGGGAACATAGACCCGATCTCTACAATAAATTTAAAGATTAGCTAGCTAAACTATAACACCACTGTCCTCCGCCTAGGTGACAGAGTCTTTCTCCATCTCTAGGGGAAATAAAAAAGAGAGAAAACAATCTGGGACAAAGAAAGCATTAGTGCTTACTGACCAATGAGTCATATACCATATTTTGCCATGTATAATGTGCTCCCATGTACAATGTGCACCTACATTTTGAACTGAACTTTCAGGAAAAAAAATATTTTGTTGTTTTTTTTTAATTCAAATTTTTATTTGTTTATATTTAGGCACTTTTTTGGTATTATAAAGGAATTTTAGCATTTATTTTCAACATATTATAGTATAAGAAAGAGTTACACTTTTAATGCATAGACACAAATAAAAGAATTAAAAACATTTATAGGCTTGGCGCCTGTGGCTCAAGTGGCTAAGGCGCCAGCCACATACACCTAAGGTGGCAGGTTTGAATCTAGCCCAGCCCGCCAAACAACAATGACGGCTGCAACCAAAAAATAGCCAGGCATTGTGGTGGGCGCCTGTGGTCCCAGCTACTTGGGAGGCGGAGGCAGGAGACTCACTTGAGCCTAGAAGTTGGAGGTTGCTGTGAGCTGTGATGTCACAGCACTCTACCCAGGGGGACAGCTTGAGGCTCTATCTCAAAAAAAAAAAAAAATTTATATAGATAAGGAAGTAGTACTACCCATGTATAGAGAAGTACATATGCATTCTTATTTTTTCCTCAAAAATCTGGACTAAAATATGTGTATAACACATGGCAAAATATGGTAATTATGCCAATACAAAAGAAATTGGCAGTCTATGTTTGTAGAATAATTTATAAAGCACTTTTGTGGATATTACGGAATACAAACTTTATAACAATATAGCATTAATCCCATTTTATGGAAAGAAATGGGAATTCTGAAAGGTAAGTGAATTGCAAAAGCCACACAACTAATAAGTCATGGCACTGAATTCTAAGCCCAGCGTTCTTTCCAATATCCTACCACTCCTCTAGACTATCCCTCAAATTGTTAATAATGTTCAAATAACATGAAAAATTCAAAAAGTAAATATATCATCAAAATAAACATAGTAAGCTATTTTTCATTCCCCTAGGAAAACCAGTTCTGGAAAAAATCTGATTTGTCCATTCAAATTCAACAGAAAGGTGTAGGGAAGGGAAGTAGAGAGAGAGGTGTGGGGAAGGGCAACTTGGGGAAGTCTTGTGGTGAGAGAGCTGTTCAGTACCTGGAATGAGAGCGTGTACACCAGTCTGCACATGACAAAACTGTACAGAACTTAATACACACACCCTCAGAAAGAAGTAAAAGTAAATTTGAATTCAAACCTGTGGAGTTTATCAATGTCAATATCCTGCTTGTTACCTACATAGTTTGCAAAATATCACAGGAAGAAGTGGGTAAAGGGATCTCATTGTATTATTTGTTAAAGTAGCATTGGGGATATATAATAATCTCATTTTAAAAATCAATTTAAAAACTCCACAGAATATTCATAGCACCAACAATGATTATGAAACAGGATAGTGACATTGTGTAAAAATATGGCAAGATCCCATGCAGTCATTTAAAATCTTCATTATACTCATTCAAAGACTTCCGTATAGCAGAAGTGGCAGAGGCCTCACTCATTAAATTTAAAAACTTATTTTTTCAAGCCAGAAATGATAATTTTTAACAGTTTTTGAAGATATAATGCTTTAACAGTGACAGCCAGCTCTCCATAGCCATGCAAATGATAAACTATCAGTGGAAGGAGGGTCACAAAGAAGGAGAAAAATAGTCTTTGAACTAGAACTTTTTGAACAAGGCTGCTTAAGAATTACATCTCAAAAGATCAATAGACATCACACTCAAGTATAAGCTAGGAGCTTGGTAAGACAATTAGAGAATTACAGTAATAATTATGGGATATACCAAGAATTGTCTAGTAATACTAATTATAACTATTTACCAAGCACATACTATATGCCCGGCATTGTGCTAGTTGCTTTCTATAAATGATTGAAAATCTTCACAACTTGAGTAGTAGTATGTGGAAAATGATGATCTCAATGTAATTTGCCCAAAGACACACAGTTAGAAAGTGGCAGAGCTTGACTTTTAACCTAGCTTTTTCTGACTCTAAAGCTTGTGTGCTATTCACTGTTACATAAGGCACAGGTAAGAAATATTTGCCTTTATGCTCTGGTACATGACTCTAGACTCACAGGGTGTCCAATCCATAGTCTTATGTGAGGACTGTTTTCCTTATCTGTGGTGTCATATTTTGTGAAAATTATTTATGAACTTTTTCCTGCTCATCAGCTTTCGTTTGTATTTGTATATTTAACATGTGGCCAAAGACAACTCTTCTTCCCACATGTAACAGATAAGAAAAAAGGTTGGACACTCCTGTGAAGGAAAATCATATGCAGTAGGAGAAAACTGTCACTGATATTACACTGACCTGCTTGTAAGTTCCATCTAGCAAGGTGTCCAGGTGTTGGAGAGGAGCAGGTGTTTTATCTTTGAACCTTGTTAATAGCCGACGTTGAATGGCTCGAAATTGTACAGCTCTTTCAGATAAGAGTTCTTCAAATCTTTCACTATTTGTCCGCAACTACAATGAAGAATGTCTTAAATTCAGGTTAAATGAACACAAAACATGTTTAAAGAAAGAATAGAGAAAATGGCAACGTAAGTTTGAAAACACATTCTAAACATATTTCAGAATTAAGGGAATTAATGTGTCATTTGTTACATGAACACATAGATAATACCATGAAATAGATCAAATGCAAATTTAGTAAAGGTGACCCAGTATAACAAGGGAAAAATAGATTACTTAATAAATGTTTTGTGATAATCAATTACCTGGGAAAAATAGGAATCAGTCCCATTGTTTCCAGCAAAATCAACTACAGAGAGATCAATAGTGTAGGCACAATAAAAGCACTAGAAAAATTAGAATTTGTATATAATCTTGACATAGAAAGGCCTTAATTAGAATAAACCAAAAGCCAAAAGCCATGCACACACCACTGATAAATTACTAAATAAAAAGAACATTTAATTATATGTGATTAAAAAAAAACGGTAAGCAAAGTGATAAGACAACAAACTTCAGGTTATAACAGCAATAACCACATAGAGAAAGAAGTAGAGGTATGCCCATCCTACCTAGAAAGCATCTACAAATCACTGTAAAAAGGACCATGACCCAGGCGGCACCTGTGGCTCAAAGGAGCAGGGCGCCAGCCCCGTATGCTGGAGGTGGCGGGTTCAAACCCATCCCCAGCCAAAAACAGCAAAAAAAAAAAAAAAAAGAAAAGGACCATGACCCAATCGAAATCAGTAAGAAAAACAGCAACACTTCAATAGAAAAATGGGCAAAGTTTTACCTAAAAGTTAATACAAATAGCTGTTAAACATACAGACTTTAACCTAACAATCCCTTCTAGAAATTTATCCCAGAGCAATGACTATAAAAAGTGATGTATAAATAAAGATATTCATTACAAAATTGTTCTGTTATGGTAAGATATCATTAATAATTAAAATGTCCTTTAATTGGAGAATTAGTTAAATAAAGAAACTAATCTGTAAGAGTACTAAGTGCTGATATGATATGCTGTCCAAAGATGATTAAATAAAGGAAAACAAAAAGATACAGAATAGTATGTATAATATGCTAGCATTCATTATTTTTTTTTAAAAAGAAATTTGTAGGGCAGCACCTGTGGCTCAAAGGAGTAGGGCGCCAGCCCCATATGCCAGAGGTGGTGGGTTCAATCCCAGCCTCAGCCAAAAACTGCAAAAAAAAAAAAACAAAAACTGTACATTAACATAGTTTTAACTGCATAGAATATATTTAGGAAGATGTACAAGGAACTGGAGACCAAATGTTGCCTCCAAAAAGGAAAGTGAGTGGCTGAAGAATTAACATAAAAAAATCTCTTTTCACTATAACCCATCTCATAATTAAATATAATATTATTAAAATAAATGAAAGCTCATCAATGTATGGTAGAAAAAACACTCCATGAGATCAGAGCATGTGAACTGCCAATTCAGCTTCATAAAACAGTAATTGACTAGTAAATATTATATTCAAAATGGTCAGAAGTCAAACATCTTATACTTTACATTTCTGGTATCAAACCAAATTCTTTATCTTTTCAGTGCATGTATTCTCCAGATACTTGATAAAAACTACATGGGAAATAGAAGTAACTTGGAAATTGATATAATACAAATTGATAAATCAACTTCCTTTAATCCCAATTTTAGAAGGACTAAAGAAATCACAGAATATTCTCTTGAGGAGGAAAAAACCGTTCATTACCAAAAATTAAGTAACCAAATTAATTTTTTAAAAGAACATCAGCCTAATTGTCAATAATTCTTCTAACTGTATAATTTGCAACTATATTTTATTTCCTGAATTCATCATGAAACACAAAAATTTAAAAAGATATTATCAATACTCAGATACCAGCCAAGTTATCATTCCTTTGAATTCATAAATAGGCATCAGGGATTTCAGCAGAATTTCAACATTTAAGGAATACCGTGTTCACTGCCATTGATCTTAGGGCGAAACACTATTCCAGGCACTAGAAATTATAGCAATGAGTAAAAATATCAAAGTAATTTATTTGATAATGACTATTATTTATAATTGCATTATATATACCTAAAATTTTCCCTTTAAGTTCATACAGCATTAACAGAAGTCTTCATAGGTGAAAGTCAATGTTCTTAAAATGTTCAAGAGTCGACTGACAAGTTACGTGACTGATATTCTCTCTCTCTGACACATAAATACCCCATTGCTAATAAACTGAATGTCTATTGATTCTTTAAAAAGCAGTCATTCCCTTACCAATCCTTTCTTACTCACTTGAATAATGTTTAAAATGCTCTCAAAATTCCCTTTTTGTATTACTTTTAGAGTCTGTTTATAGATTCTATAAGTAAGTGGAGTCTAATGACTCTGTTTTAACACACAGAACTTTTCAAACAATGACTGTCATTGTTCCACCCATTTATAAAACAAGGCTCTTGGCCATTTCCAAGCATCAAACCAATCCTCAAAGGATAAAGATTTGCCATTATTTAGATACTCAAGAGAATCTAACAGAGGTTGTGAAAATAGATCCGAAGAAAAAATGCAAAAATATTTAGAGCAACAATGTTATTATCATTTATTTAGACATTTAATTATTCAATATTCACAGAGCACCCACTGTGCCAGGCACTGGAGAATATTTTAAGTGGTTAACCTTCATTCAGATGCAGAAGTTCGGATGTACTTGTTAAAAAAGAAAAAGAAAAATCACTTTATAATCACACCTCATTTATGGCCTGCTAGAATTAGTTAGCCAAATGGCTGCCTATAAGCTCAAATAGTTTTAATGCTGGGTTATTGGTGTCAAAGGTTAAGTCCCCATGTGGGAGAATTAAATCAGCTCTGTTCCAAGGCCAGACTACATGCTTAGCTCCAGGCAGTCACTCTGTAAACGTCTGTAACTGATCACAAACTGGAAAAGAGAACAGGAATGGATTCACATAATCCACCATCCATATAACAACTCGAAGCACACAGACTAATAGAATTGTATGCTAGAATTCTTTTATAGCATCTATTTTTTTTGTATATTTAAGGATTATATATGGTATGAATTATAATCATACACACCTCAAAATGATGATCAATCAACTCAAAATATTCTTGGAGAGGCATAGAGCCAGAAAAAGAACAGGCAAAATCTTTGATTCCCTGCTTTTCAAAATATTCTTGAAGGCGAAGAGTAAGTTCCTTTGTTATAAGCCAAAGATCTTCAAACTGTTCACTCTGAATGCGGTATCGTTCTAAAAGAGAAAAAATATTTAAGGAAAAATGTTCATTCATTTATACAATTACCAGCTGAAACGATACAAACTATCACTATCCCTGATGTGAGTATTATAAGGACAAACATTTCTTTTTGATAACACAGATAAGATTATACTGGCTTTATAAAAATATTCTACTGCTTCATTGTTGTTTTCTGCCTCAATCACTTAATTTTCAAATCGAATTCAAAGGTAGGAGGTCACAGTGGCATGTTTTAGGGTATGGTTCTTTTTATTATCTGTTATTCTGGATCTTGGTTTTAATCTCATAGATCCAAAGAAACTTATTTCTCTAGCAGTAACGGAAGTCCAATAGACACCAAGCACGGTGTAAAGCACTTACATACACTTTCTTATTTAAAACTCAACGCCATATGGGGAAAATAGTGTTATTGTCATTTTAGAGATAAATAAATCCACTTGCAAAGTTTAAGTAATCTGCAAAATCATCCAGCCAGTTACTAACAGAGCACTGGAACTCTACATATTAATACAAAGATTAATTATTAAATGGTTCACAAGACTGCATCTCTCTGAATTTACATGCAAAGACTTAACAACTATGTCTACAGTTCACTGGGCACTTAACTATATACAGCCATGCATTCTTACCCAACATCCCAGGTGACTACAGCCAGTCCTTTCAAAAGGATTATACACTTCATGAGCTTTAGGATTAAGTCCTATACTCCATTTAATTTATGATTTACTAAGCATCTATTATATTATGCATGACGTCATAAAGAAAGAAATGTTGGGAGTACAGAGATGAACTCAGTCTTCTTGCTCAAGGAATCTAAAGTCTAACTAGGGTAGCATGACCCAGGGACATTTAGAATATTTCTTTATATGCTGTTGTATCATTCCCCAGTCCTCCCTACACTTTACTATTATTCTACATACTGACTTTTGCCCATGATGCTTATTAAACATTTTCTTCATTTCTCCTCATCAAAGATGGTAGGACTAATGTCACAGATAACAGCTTTTACTTTCCCTTGTAAATGTCATTGAAGTTGAAATGCTTTAGACACAGCACAATTATAATGGTGTAGAGACAGAGAAATAGAAGGGAAAATGGTGAAGATACAGTATAGTATTGGAATCCTCTAAACATAGGCCAAGAACAGTGGCACATGCCGATGATCCTAGCACTTTGGGAGGCTACAGTAGGAAGATCACTTGAGGCCAAAAGCTCAAGACCAACCTGAACAACATGGCAAAACTCCATCTCTACAAAAAAATTAAAAAATAAAAATTAGCCAGGTATTGTGGTACACACTTGTAATCTCAGCTACTTGGGAGGATGAAGCAACAGGATCACTTGAACCCAGGGATTCAAGGTTGCAGTGAGCTGTGATTAGACTACTGTACTTTAGCTTAGGTGACAGAGTGAGACCTTATATAAGCTTGAGGTCTAACATATTAAATCTAAACTGATACAAATTCACTTTCCTTCATACATGTAACTCAGTAAAAGATATTCAGGATAAAATAAAAGATCAGGAGAAAGGCTCTGCCTTCCAGGAGCTCACAGTAGACTTGGAAAGATGGCATGATGGCAGAAGAATGAAGACTGCTTTTGCTATCACTGATTCAGGAAAACTCATTAAGGCTGACCTGGCTACAGAGATGCCAAGACTTCTCCCCAGAGGATACATTACTAGTTTCAAGTATGGGAAGTACTATCACATAACAGAAGAATTAGATGACAGCAAGTGAGCTACAAAGGGCAGCAGTCATGTTCAGAATTGCATAATTATAGATGTTCACACAGTTACAGTTGCCTTGGGAAAGTGGCAACTTCATGGTAAAATGTTTCTTAAGGGTCTGATCTCCTTGGTCTTCAGTGTTTTCTTGAAAGTTTTCCTGTGAGTTGTAGAATTCAGCATGAAAGAAAGAAGGGTCATTTCACAAGGCACAGGCCTGTCTGTCCCTCCAGCTATCTTGAAACAGGTATTTGGTTCTGGCTTAATGTTGCCTACAAGTCCCAGACATTTGTCTTTCCTGGAGCAGATGTTTGACTTCTGGCTCAAGGCTGGCTGTAGGATCCTGTACATCCAGGATCCTGTGTCTCCTCTTTCTATACATCTATCCATTCTGCAGCAGGTGTTTTTCCCAGAACACCTGAGCCTCCATCTACTCCAAGCAACAATCCTAGGCTCCTGGAGGAAGAAACTAAGCTTGGCCAGCTACATCTCCTTTCTCAGCTTTGTGATCTCCCAGAACACTAGCTTCCCACTCTGCTGCACCAGGCCTTATGAATGTAGCAGATACAAGTGAAGAAGTGGTATGCTGTAGTGATCCTGGCCCAAGAGGACAGTGAGACATGGTAGTGGTTCTGGGATTCTCAGGGACAGCCTACTCAAGACAATTACATTACTGACCAATCAATAAATGTTTCTCGTTACCATCACTGTTGCCATTGCTTTCCCTAAGTTATTGGAAACTAAAGGGAAGAAATTTAATCATACACTTCTTTAGATCAACATAGCACCTAACTAATCAAGGAATGAGGAAAAATATCTTTAATCAAATATGTATTTTCCTTAGTAGGAAATTTGCTGTCATTTCACATTTTTACAGAAATATTAATTTCTGTAAATTTTTCAAAGGAAATTTAATTCACTCAGGTTCTAGAAGGATTCTGAACAAGTATCCACAAGAAGGTGGAAAAACTTGGGGCATAGCCTAAATACATAAAGAGTAAAATTTCTTATATATATATATAATGAAATAAAACTATGGAGAGGAAGTTATTCCATTGGACTATAATTTTTCAATAAAACATGTCATAATAAACAACTGGGCTTATTATGATATATTTAAAAGAAGTATATCAGCTGGCCTCCATGTAAAGTAAGATATATTTCAAGGTACATGAATGAAATAAAGGAGCAAGCCACAAGGATATCTGTGGGAAGCACATTCCTAAGCTAGGGGAACTCTAAATACAAAGGCACAGAGGCAGGTATGTGCTTTTAGGAACACTGAGGCGGCCAGCTTGGCTGAAGCTGAGTCAGAAACTTTTTACTGCTCTGTAACAAGATATTACACCAGTTTCTGTTAAATCATCCATGTAGGTAGGTATTGCAAAAAAATCTGGAAACAAGGCACAATCAGCTATGTCCAGGCAACTAATCCACCACAAGTTGTTGTGAAAATTGAACAGAATTTGCCACTGGGGAAAACATGGATCAGCAGGCCAGGGCTAAGTTCTTAATGAGAAAGGACAAATCCAATTAGCACCTACCCTGATGGCTCTGAAAGTACTGGGCTTAGTCTGCATTCACAGCTTACACTGGGCATGGGTGTTAGATGAAGGAAAGCAGAGGATGCTCTGGGCTGTCCAAGAAAAGCAGCAGTGCCCCAAATTCTTTCCCCAAAGGAGATAACCATCCTGTCTCAGCTGCCTACCATTGGAGCTTCTTCCCTACTCCTGGCAGACAACAAAATCTCTACTCTGACAAAACAAAATGTGGGCAAGTCCAAGCTTTTCCCTTTTCCTTTTATGGAAATTTGAATTATCTCAACAGGGGCCTATGAACTCACTGAGAGTGAGTTCCCATCTCAATCTGCTATATTAAGCAAACAAAGACTCCCCCTCTCTAAAGAAAACCTAGCAGAGAAAAATCATGTGCAGTGCTCGCTTCGGCAGCACATATACTAAAATTGGAACGATACAGAGAAGATTAGCATGGCCCCTGCGCAAGGATGACACGCAAATTCGTGAAGCGTTCCATATTTTAAAAAGAAAAAAAAGAAAAATCATGTGCAATAAGTTCAAAAGAAAAAGACAAATCACAGAAATGAAATTTGCTTTATAAAAGAGAGGTAAAACAAGACTATCTTAGTTTATAGTTTCAACAAAATTCAAGGCAATAGTGCATCTATTAATTCATTCAAAAAATATTGAGTGATAAGTGCTGAGGAGACAATGGTGATCCTCACCCTACTGAGAAGGGCAGAAAATGAACAAGTAAAAATCTTATGAAATAGAACTTATGAAAATACTACGATACAGAGAAAAGGGGTGCTGTGATAAAAACAAATGGGTGTTCTTTCTTGAAATACATGTACTATGGTCAGGAAGACCACCTTGAGAAGGTGACATCAGTGGTAGTACTAACTGTAATAAGGATATACTAGCAGCTAAAATTTACCTAGCACTTCCAACATATCAGGAAATTACTGTGCTTTTTAGGGATTATTTCAACGGATTCACATAATATTTTCATTCTATTTTATTGCCATTTTATAAATTAAAAAACAGATGGTTAAGTAATTTTTCCAAAGTCATTCAGAAGAATTGTAAGCTGGAGCTAGAATCTAAACTATCAATTTAAATCTAGACTCTACATTCCCCTACATTCCTAAACATTTTGTGCATAAAGTTTGTACCTCAAGGATGAGAAGAACCAGGTAGAGGGAAGGACAAACACAAAGTCTTTAAGGCAGAAAAAGACATGTAGAGAAAGTTAAAGAAGGTCAGAGTGGGAAGAAAGCACTCCTAAATCAGGGTGCAGGTTGGACCAGGATCAGCACATACAGGGATCCCAGAGACTCGGTAAAGAGTTTGGTTATTATTATAAATGCCAAGGATTTTAACCTGGAGGGTGTGAGTGTTTGTTTCTTTATTTGTTTTTATTACAAGAGCCAAGTAGAAAACGAATTGGAAAGAGAAAAGAATACATTTATAGTTAAGATATTACACCATGGTCCAGGCAATGATGGTGCCATATGGAGCAGTCAAGAGTATCATGTTAGAATAGAAATCCCTACTTATCCTCTGAGAAAAACTTAAAACCTCGTAAAATTTTAAATCTGTAACTTCAGTAAAAAAAATTATCTAATCTTCAATTTCATCTACACAAAGGGAAAAATGAAACACAACTCATGAGGGTTTTTACAGAAATCAAATTAATGCTATAAGTCAAAGATCTATACAATTTCAAGTTATCTTTGTATTATTAAAA